TTTTAAACTCAGCATATTCTTGATATCCACCCAAAATGTTATATTCTTGTGATCCATTCAAAATGTTAAGTATAACAATAATGCCTTTTTACTGTTGAGTAGACTTTCATGGCACTAATGTAGCAGTTTGTTAGTCATATACTTGTTGAAGGACAGTTGGATGTTTTCCAGTTTTTGGCTCTTACAAATGAGGCTTCCATGAATATATGTGTATAGGTTTTTGTCTGAATGTAAGTTTTCATTTCTCTGGTGTATATACTGAGTGTAATGTCAGAGGCACATGTAAATACATGTTTACTTTTATAAGAAATTGCTGAGCTTTTTTTCAGAGTGTGTGTGTGTGTGTGTGTGTGTGTGTGTATTCAGTCGCTCAGTTGTGTCCGACTCTTTGTGACCCCATGGACTGTAGCCTGCTGGGTTCCTCTGTCCATGGAATTCTTCAGGCAAGGATACTGAAGTGAGTTGCCATTCCCTTCTCCAGGGGATCTTCCCAACCCTGAATCTGGGTCTCCTGCATTGCAGGCAGATTCTTTTCCATCTGAGCCAACAGGTTTTTTTTTTTTTTTTCAGAGTGGAGGTACCTTTTTACACTTCCACTATAATGTTTAAGTGATCTAGTTTCTCTGCATCCTTGCCAGCATTTGGTATTATCACTATTTTCTAATTTGATCATTCTGATAGGTGTGTATTGATAGATCACTGTGGTTTTAACTTACATTTCCCTCATGGCTGTGATGTTGAACATCTTTTCATATGTTTATTTTCGATTTGTATTATCTTCTCAGTGAAATGTCTATTCATGTCTGCTGTCTGATTTTCTAATTGAATTATTAGTCTTTTTGCTGTTGAGTTTTGGAAGTTCTTTATGTATTTTAGATAGAAGTTTTTTGTTGGATATATGGTTTGTGAATATTTTTTCCCAGTCTGTAGTTTGTCTTTTCATCCTTATAAAGGATTTTTCAGAGCCAAATGTGTTATTTGCAATTTTCCTTTTATGGATTGTGCTTTTGTTATCAAGAACCTGTCTGTAGCAGGCTCACAGACTTAGGCAACGAGCTTATGTTTGACAGGGGGAAGGACGGGGAGGGACACCTAGGGAGTTGGGATGGACATGCACACACTGCTATATTTAAAGTGGATAACCTACAAGGGCCTGCTGTATGGCAGGTAGAGCTCTGCTCAATGTTACGTGGCAGCCTGGATGGGAAGGGTGGATTTGAGGGAGAGTGGATATGTGTATGTGTATGGTGGAGTCCCTTCGCAGTTCACCTGAATGTATCACAACACTGTTAATGGCTATATGTCAATGCAAAATAAAAAGTTAAAAAAAACCTCCCCTGTAGCTGTAGGTCTTGAAGATTTTCTTCTTTATTTGCTGTACTTTTTTCCTTCTAACATTTTACATTTAAGTTCATAATCCATTTTGAGCCTGTTTTTAAATATAAGATGTGAGGTTACATTGAGATCCTGTCTGTTGCTTTCTTTCTTTGCCTGTGGATGCCTATTGCTTCAGCTGTATTTGTTGGAAAGAAACTTCATCCATTTTAATGCTATAAAATGACCTTTTTCTAGTTTAAAGCTTTCTTTGGTTGGGGGAGGTAGTCTTGAATTTAATTTTGTACCATATTATGATCAAACCTTATTTTGTGTGTATTTGCCTACTATATTTTTTGTCCATTGTTTTATTTTCAACATTCAAAAAACTTAGTTTTAGGTGTCAGTTTACATTATAGGGTTGGTTTTTATTTTATGATCTAGTCTGAAAGTCGTTTTCTTTCGTGCTGGTGAACTTAACTCATTTACATTCATTTAAATGAAAGATGTTGGTCTAAGTTTTGAAACATAATTTTCTATTTTGATTTTGGTTTTTATAACTTACAAACAAAATATCTAGGTATGTGGTATGTTTACCTTACTTTCGTCCAGTTATTTGTAAGAGGTTTATGTGAGAATATCGGAGAAGTCAATGGCACCCCACTCCAGTACTCTTGCCGGTAAAATCCCATGGATGGAGGAGCCTGGTGGGCTGCAGTCCATGGGGGTCGCGAAGAGTTGGACATGACTGAGCAACTTCACTTTCACTTTTTACTTTTATGCATTGGAGAAGGAAATGGCAACCCACTCCAGTGCTCTTGCCTGGAGAATCCCAGGGATGGGGTCGCGCAGAGTCGGACACGACTGAAGTGACTTAGCAGCAGCAGTAGCAGTATGTGAGAGTATAGAGGCAAATCTTCCTACATTTTAGGCTATCTATAATTTTTCTTATAATCCAGGGTTTAGTATGTTAGTTTATTCAGCTTTTACTTGTCTCTGGCTAATAAGGTTAGGCAACTGTATATAAAATTTTTCATAATACAAAACTCTGCCCTGCTGCCATAGAAACAGAGTATTCTTTGTAAATAGGGCATTTATGAGTGATTTCTCTTTAAGCCCTGATTTTTCTGTTTCATTGTTGGAACCAAACTGGGGAATTTCTGCCTGTAGCATGTGTATCTTGTTCTCACTGTAATAAACAGGAGTTCTAACCTTTACACTTTGAGAAGTTTATCTTCCTGTCTTTTAGTGAGATAAGCAGTTTTCCTTCTCTGCTTTTATTCTTTTGAGCCCCTGCATGATCTCTATTGTTTTGGGGAACTCTTTCACATATTTTGAGAGATGAGTTTTAGCTTATCTTAATTTTATCAGAAAATGAATTTGTGTTTTTGTTTTTGTTTCCCTGCTGTTTGGATGATTTCCAAGAAGAGAAGGGGGAAATGGAGACTATGCCACTATTCTCCAAGTAGGAGTCAGTAGAAATATCCTTAATATCTTGACAAACATGTTATTGTATTGTCATAAATTAAGTTTAATTAGTGGGAGAGCAACATCTTTGTTGAGATAGCTAGAACACCTATTTCTGAAGTACTTTAGTTCTTTTCCTAAATTTTATTTTAAAGAATTATCTATTTAAAAGGATTTCATTTAACTTCTCCTTAAAAAATAGCTAACTCTGTTATAGTCTGTCTTTTTAAGTCTTGAAGACTTGACACTTAAAAATTTGTATTGTTTGACAGCTCCTTTTCTCCACCAGTTGTTCTGATAAAAACCAAAAGAAGAATTTGTTGTTCAGAAAGGGGTATTAGTAAGTTTTATTGTGAAATAAGGGACTGTATTTTCATTCTTATAACTTTTACACTTTGAAAATTACATATACTTTAACAAATATCTACCATTTAAGAATATTAATAGATTTCCTACAGAGTTTTAGTCTTTATCTCTGCAGTTCCTTCTCCTGTGTCCTGTTTTCTCCCTATATGTTTTTTTTTCCACCTCCAAATCATCTGTCAGTTTGCCACTGTTTCAGTGGGTTTCCAGTGGGGAAATGTTGTGGGACTTTTCTACTTTTGGTAGAATATTTGAGGGTTGTCAGTTGTGTGTTTAACCTTTTTTTTCATCTCCCTTCCCTTGATAAAGAAGGCCAGTGTCTTTTTTTTTTAGTAGTAGGGTAGTTGTCCAAGAACCATGTAGGAATCTGCTGCTGGTTATTTTGGTGTTTTCATGTCATAAAAATAAACTGTCATAATACAAAAAACATGGACAAGTTATCTGTTGCTCTGTAACAAATTGCTCCAGAACTTTAGAGCCTAACAAATGTTTATTCTCTCTTTCAGTTCTTGAGGGGCAGAATGTGGGAGCAGCTTATTAGCTGGATGGTTCTGGCCCAGGGTCTTTTTTCATATATAAATTGCAGTTGAGCTATTGGCTGGGGCTACAATCATCTCAAGGCTTAACTAAGGCTGGAGAATTTACTTCTAAGTTCACACGTGTAGTTGTTGGCAGGCCTCAGCTCCTTCCTGGCTGTTTGCCAGAGACCTCTGTTCTCATGAAATGGGCTTTTCTATAGAGTTCCCTGAAGGTCTTCATGTCATAGCAGCTGGCTTCTCTCAGAGTGAGTAATCCAAGAGAGAGAAAGATAGCAAGCTGAAGAGGAGGCCTGAGATGGAAACTGTGTATTTTTATAACCTAACATTGAGGTGACATACTATCACTTCTGTCATATGCTATTGGTCACACAGACCAACACTGGTGAGAGAGGGCTACACAAAGTTCAGAGTTGTGAATACCAGGAGACAGAGTTCTCTGGTGATGAGCTTGTAGGCTGATTCCTAAGAACAGCAATGATATATCAGAGTGAAGAGCTAGTTTTCATACATATTATTTGAATTTACATTTAGATGCGATGTATTTCTTTTATAAAATGATGGATAATGTTTGTATACTTATTCTGATATGTTCTATGGAGAAAGGAATTTTGGTTTATTTACATTGAATTTAAGAGATGACCTGGACAAGTCTGTGATTAGGATCATTCTTCGATTTTCTTTTAATTGTCTTAATATCATTTGATGTCTTACTAATGTAAAACCTAAAGAATAACACAAAATTTATGAAAGGAGATGTTTAGCTAAATTTACTTGTCAATTATTTATTTGATTGTACTATTTTGGTTTTTTCTCAAGATAGCTTATCTTGTTTGGTAAAGTTCCCTCTAATATTCAATACGGGGAAGGAGTATCAACTTTACATTTGTATAATGCTCTGGATTTGTAAAATGTGTTTTTCCTAATGTATAGAAATAGATAAAGTTTTAGGGTTCTTATTTACCTAGTAAGAAGGAATTTTATAATTTGTTCTTAATCTTTTGGAGGATTTATAGATCCCTCTGAGAATGATAAGGGCAATGGTCTCTCCAGAGAAATGCACTTAGGTGCACAAAGGCAATTTTACAATTTGGAGGGACCGTCAGGAGGTTCATGAATTTTGGATTGAGAATTCCTCCTTTGAAAACACAGGTAGATTTCTGGTGGCTTCTGAAAGGAGTGCTTTTTTATTTTCAAAATACAAAGGAAAACATTGTCTCTGACTGTAATTAGAAATGTGTATTTGTTTTCATTTAATGTGGCTTCTAATTCATGTATCCTAATTATGGTTTTTGTTTCTGATTTTTCCTTCTTGTATAGCATCTGGAGCATAAGAACAGTGCTTATTTTCTTCTTTTCCAAGAGAACAGAAAGAAATAGTAAGTTTAATTTTGAAGTTTTTATAAATACATTTAAAAAACCCATCTTATATGGTGTGTTGGTTTGTAACTGAATGATAGGTTATGAAATGGTATACTGAAATGACAGTGTGGTAAATATTGAGAAGTTGTTCACTTTAAAGCATAAGAAAGTTTATGAATGATCAAACTGGTTCTGTTTTTCAGTTGTGTTATTTCTGTCTTGTCCATTTAGAATTTTTTTTACTCAATACTCAAAATAAGTCATTTCTTTAGGTAAGAGAAATCACACTGCTTATCTTTATAGAAAATTTATGTTATTAGGGAGTAAAATATAGTCAAACATCTTTTGATTTATTCTATTAGTTGCATCTATTCCTTTCAGTCTCACAGTGGTGTGGAATGTATTATTACCAAAACACAAAGCATGGTGCTTTTTATGCATTGATGGTATAATTGTACTAAAGAATACACATATATATTGACTACCATGCTAAATATTCATCATGATAGTCCCAACACACAGAAAAGCAATGTTAAGAAAAATTAGAACATTTAAAATAGGATATCTCATCATAGCAGAATTTCTTTGTAAAACTAAAAAGTGAAAATGGATCTTCAAAGTAAGTTTCTGAGTGGCTTATTTCTGAAGTAAAGATAGCTATTTACCAGTTGTGAGTTAATTAAATTATGTAATTGCAGCAAATGAAAAAATGTATTTAGGGAAGATGCTTGCTTGGCTAGTAGCCTTTTTAGCAAGAACAATTGGTTGAAGAGTTAAGAACACTGGAAGCAACATAGTTCATTTAAAAACAAGACAGATGATTTCAAGTGATTGTCAGCTGGCTCTTTTTTTTGTTTTTGGCCACACTGTTTGGCTTGTGGGATCAGTTCCCTGATCAGAGATTTAACCTGGACCATTGCAGTGAAAGTGCTGAGTCCTAACCACTGGACTGCTAGGGAATTCCCTGTCATTGGTTCTTGATGAGTTGACAGATGTTACTGATACAGCTCAATTGTAGTTTATTTGAGGCGTCAGTACTGAACTTGAAGTGACTAAAGACTTAGCCTCTGTAAACAGTCTGTGTAGAGCATGCTGGGAGAGAATATTTTTAAAGAAGTTGAAAAAGCACTAATTTAATACAACCAGAAGTGGACTCTGCTGAGGTTAATTTACAACTGTTGGTGGTAAAAATATGTGTGAAGCAGAAAAAGGCTTAGTGGATTAATTTACAAAGCTCATGAAACTGTAAGGTGTTTAAATTCTGTGGTTATTTCACTGTGTTACTCAACAGCAGATATCAATACTTCCAGAGCATATTTGAACCTGTCATGGGTTATTGAACTCATAGTCAATGGGGAACTTCATTTGATTTCACAGACTTAATCATCATCAGTTATGTGATCTTTTATCAGAAATAGAAGTGGGGGGACTTCCCTGGTAGCCCAGTGGTTAGGAATCTGCCTTGTAACACAAGGGGTGCAGGTTCAATCCCTAGTTGGGAAACTAAGATCCCATTTGCCACGGAGCAATTAAGCCCATGCACTGCAACTAGGGAGTCTGTGTGCCTCAAAAAAGGATCCTGCATGATGCGATGGAAGATCCTGTGTGCCACAACTAAGACCTGACACAGTCAAATAAATAAATAAAAGAAATAGAAGCAGTTGGATGGATTAGTAATAGTAGTAAAGTTTTATTATGATATTTTGAGCTCAGCCAGGACCAACATGTTTCTGAGGCAGACTGCCTTCAATCACTGTGAATGAACTGGCTTTGGAAATTAGGTCTTGCAGACTTGATAATGGTTCTTAATGAACTCAGCCTAAGATTGCAAGGTGAAACAATCCTCATATGTGAAACCTACAGTGCTATAAAGTGATTTAGAAAGCAAATAACAATCTAATGACAAAAAGTAATTTTTTAAAAAGTGCTATGAAAAGTTAAGAAGCAAGATCTCCATTCCCACACAGATTTGTAACAGATACGTTATATGAGCTCAAACTGCAGTTCCAGCAGTGTTTTCCACACCTCATGCAAGTACAGAGGAAATTTCCATATTTCAAAATCCATTTAACTGAAAGTGATTAATTTGCAGTGACATAATAAAGACAAATATCAAGAGAAGGATCTAAAGAATTTTATAAATGCCTTTCACACAGTGAATATGCCCAATTAAAATTATGTGGTTATCGATTAATTTAAATATGTAGCAGCACCTATCTGTGTGGAAAAGTTTTTTTTGTTGTTGTTGTGAAAAAGCTTTCAAAAATAAAATGTGTGAAAAACTACAGATAAACTAACAGATTTACTTTTGCAATCAGTTTTGGTGGTACGGGATACTAATTTTGAATCTCAATTAAGTGAAATGTTATCCCCCACCTACCTCCTAAAATTTTTCTTTTCATTGGTAGACCTACGTTATGAACAATTCACCACAATTATATTTGAATTTTGCCATTAAAAGTTTTGTGGGAATTCATTTACTCTTTTGCTTTAAACCAATTTAACTTTGCCTTTTGGCCCATAAAGCCATTTGTTGTCTGGCCCTTTATAGAAAAAGTCTGCTGATCTCTGCATTAGAGGCTAAATATTTTGCTTGGTCTTATCTGAGTAAAGATGATTGTTCTCTTTAAAGATGTCAGCAGTTTTTTTCTCCTTTCAGTAATAAATCAGCTATAACATTAAAGACTACTTAATACATTTTGGAAAAAATATAGTAAAACCATCTTTTCTGAAGTTTATATTTCTTTGAATTTTTATGTAAATAATATTATTTGAATTGATATTGAGATGTTTGCTACTCCAAAACTTCAATGAAGAGATAATTTTGTAAGTAAATTTAATGAAAAATTAAGAACAATTATTTAAATTCTATTTGGTAAAAATTTTTAAAATTAATCTAGTTTTTAATTGAAGGATAATTGCTTTACAAAATTTTGTTGTTTTCTGTCAAACCTCAACCTGAATCAGCCATAGCTATACATATATCCCCTCCCTTTTGAACCTCCCTCCCATCTCCCTCCCCATCCCACCCCTCTAGGTTGATACAGAACCCCTGTTTGAGTTTCCTGAGCCATACAGCAAATTCCTGTTGGCTATCTATTTTGCATATGGTGGTAAAATATTTAAATCAAGTTTTATGTCTCTTCTTTCTTGCTGAGATAGTATTCCTGTTTATGCTAGTTCAATATTTCTAGAGAAAAACTAGAAACCTAAAATAAATTTGTAAAGCAGATACTGATGTTCATAAATTACATAAATTATATCCTTTGAAATGTTTCTTTATGTTCTACCAGTACAACCTAACTAAGCATGCAAATCTTGGAAAAGTTTAATTTTGAAAAGTAATTAGTAACATCTTTCTTTCCAAGTCCCTCCTCAGGTGTAATACTGTAGGTTTTCAAAGGTTTTCTTTTTAGTGCTCATTTTCTTGAAGATCAAATAGCTTAATAAAATGTTCTTTACTTATAAATAAAGAGAACATTTTTATTACCAATGTATAAAAAGAAAATCAGTTTTAATTTTGTAAATTAACATGGGTGGGATGTTGAAAGGAAGGAGAAATTATAAAAAATGATGTGTCTGAACATATTTAAAAATACATATTTTTTTACATTTGGGAAAAGTGTTTTATCCTGTGTAAAGTCCATTTTTTTCCCAGCTGAGCTTGTAGTATATAATATAGGCAAATACATAAAATATATGTGGGTAAAGATGAGAAAACTTCTGTCAGTACACATCAGTGAGAAATCCTAAAATGAGAATGTTTTCTTGCAGTTGCTTAATGTATATCATTTGACATGATTTTTTTCTTGTATCTTAAGCATCTTAGTATCTGATTTAGTTTTGGTTTAAATCTTGTTTTCTAGATGAAGCATTGGATGATTTAAAATCCCAGAAGAAAAAAATAGTAAGTTAACTTTTATTTAAGTTAATTTGTATAAAGCTAATAAATTAAGGACTGAATAATTAATGTTTATATGCTGTAAATAATGACTCTCTAAGGAACACATATGCTTTTAAATAGCAATTTAATGGTGAAGCTAAATTATGAATATTTTTGCTAGTAAATAATGATTGACAGGAAAAAGTAGTTAGATGGACTTATGAGATTCTGAGAGTCCATGTCAGCTGGAAACTGAGAAGTTAGTAAATGAATCATTTTGGAGCACTAAATGAGGCAGAGGGGTAAAAAGGTGAGTATCTAGTTTTATTATTAGGGCCAAAAAAAGGACCAAACATCATATGTCAGTTCTCAGATTTTTTTGACATAATAAGACTAAGAGAGAGGGGAATCAAGAGGATTGTCCGTAAAAGAAATTTAACAGTGAAAAAAGAAAAATAACCCTTAAGAAAAGGTGGGGGTGGGGAAGAGAATATTTCTTATTTGATTTCTTCCTTGTCTATCAGCAGTTCTAAGTACATGGGCATCTATTGTGGGGCCAGTTAAATGCATCCTTCAGATGAGGACCAAGAGAGAAGGACTTCAGATATTTAGAGGTTGATATTTAGTAGTTTTACTAAGTGAATTGAACTTGGTGTTTGACTTGAATTTACATATACTTTTTTCACATAATTATTTTTGAAATATAAAAATGATAGTTGACAGGAGTATCATGTTATATGGAAACTTATTTAGTGATATTTAATCACATGCAAAGTCAATTTAATGTAGTTTAGTCTAACATCCCATCTGAGCTATTTAAAATCCTAAAAGCTGATGCTATTAAAGTGCTGCATTCAACACGCCAGCAAATTTGGAAAACTCAACAGTGGTCACAGTACTGGAAAAGGTCCGTTTTCATTCCATTCCCAAGAAGGACAGTGCCAAAGAATGTTCAAACTACCATACAGTTGTACTTATTTCACATGCTAGCAAGATAATGCTCAAAATCCCTCAGGCTAGACTTCAGCAGTATGTGAACTGAGAACTTGCAGTTGTACAAGCTGGATTTAGAAAAGGCAGAAGAACCAGCAATCAAATTGGCAGCATCCGTTGGATCATAGAGAAAGCAAAGGAATTCTAGAAGAACATCAATTTCTGCGTCATTGACTTTGCTAAAGCCTTTGACTGTGTGGATTACAACAAACTGTGGAAAATTCTTAAAGAGATAGGAGTACCAGACCACCTTACTTGCCTCCTGAGAAACCTGTATGCAGGTCAAGAAGCAACAGTTAGAACTGACTGGTTCAGAATTGGGAAAGGAGTAAGAAAAGGCTGTATATTGTCACCTCCTTATTTAACTTATATGCAGAGTACATCATGTGAAATTCTAGGCTGGATAAATCAGAAGTTGGAATCAAGATTGCCAGGAGAAATATCAGCAGCATCAGATATGCAGATGTTACCACTCTTAATGGCAGAAGTTTAAGAAGAACTAAAGACCATCTTGATGAGGATGAAAGAGGTGAGTAAAAAAGGTGGCTTGAAACTCAACGTTGAGAAAAGTTAAGATCATGGCATCTGGTCCCATCACTTCTTGGTAAATAAAAGGGGAGAAAGTAGAAGCAGTAACAAATTTTATTTTCTTGAGTTGCAAAATCACCGCGGATGGTGACTTCAGCCATGAAATTAAAAAATGCATGCTCCTTGGAAGAAAAGCTGTGACAAACCTAGATAGCCTGTTAAGGAGCAGAGACATACCTTTGCTGACAAAGGTCAGTATAGTCAAAGCTATGGTTTTTCTAGCAGTCACCTACTGATGTGAGAGTTGGACCAAAAAGAGGGCTGAGCACTGAAAAATTGATGCTTTCAAACTGTTGCTGAAGAAGACTCTTGAGAGTCCCTTAAACTGCAAGGAGACCAAACCAGTCAATTCTAAAGGAAATCAACCCTGAATATTCATTGAAAGGACTGAGGCTGAAGCCGAAGCTCCAATACTTTGGCCGCCTGATACGAAGAACTGACTCATTGGAGAAGACCCTGATTGAGGGAAAGATTGAAGGCAAAAGGAGAAGAGAAAGGGTGTCAGAGGAGAAGATGGTTGGATGATATCACCGACTCAATGGACATGAATTTTAGCAAACTCAGGGAGATAGTGGATGACAGAGGAGCCTGGTGTGCTGTAGTCCATGGAGGGGCAAAGAGTCAGATACTACTTAGAGACTGAGCAACAACAATGTAATAAGTAACAATTATGGGTGAAACTAATAAAAGTTATGAAGGTTAAGATTAATGTTAAAAATTGTTCTGTGAACTGATAAGATACTAGTCAAGGGATTTAAGTACCTGAAAAATAAAGCAGCTTTAATTTTGAAAGGATTCCTTATTCTTTTTTTGTTTGATGTCCCTCAGTATTCTGTGAGGTATTTATCAAAATTGCTTTGACATTTTTGATGGTTGTAAATTGAGTTGTATCTTATTGTATCCCATTGTATCTTATTATATTTCTGGCATTTTATGTGTTATTGAACAGCCAGAAGTTCAAAATGAGGAAATGCCAACAATTCTCAATAATATAGAAGTTGTGATATGATTGGTTTAGTTTGCTGATGTGATGAAGAAGATCTGATAGTGTTGATGAAAGCCAAGCCCTACTTGTACCAAAATGGAGAAATACTGATTAACATAGAAAAGGCAAAGAGGAAGACAAAAAAGGAAAAAAGAAAAGTTCCAAGTGATGAGAAGCTGATTCAATGTCAGTGGAATTACATGACCAGAAAGCAGAATCTTAGAGAACATATATGATTGGGGAAAAATTCTCGGTAGAGGAACAGAACAGACTTAGAAAATTCTATGAGAGAGCAAACTAAGCTATTTACTTCTTAAGTAGCCCTTGATGGAATTGCAAAATAGAAAATGTGCATCTAGGTCTGCCAGTTGGGAAATTCAGTTCAAAGTTCAATTGTTTTGTATGTATAAATGGTTTATGAGGCATCAGTGTTAAAGAATAGTTCAGAATGGCATTTCTCTTGCAGTATGATTAGAGAAAAATAAGTTAGCTGCACTCTAAGGGAACACGATTTGCATTGAATTGATTGTTGCAGGGTACAGTACTGTTGCTATTAGGAACTAGTCCCTTGTCTTTAATGCTCAAGCCCTCAACAGCTGCTTTGTTTCAGAAGTACTTTATACTTTGTTTAGAACAATGGGTGTTAAAAGGTGAATTTATAAGGAGTACAGTGTTAGCTAGTGATTGTACTGGTAATAAGAGGAAAAAGAAGGGACATTGCTTTTCAGGGAAAATAAAATGTAACCAAAACTGATATTGTTCATTGATATTTTACCCTACATTTAAAGCTTTAAATATACTGACATGACAAATAACTATTAGTTTAAAATTACCCAACTCTTAACTCTTTCATTAAAAAAATTAATATAAATTGTATTTACTACTTGACATTTTATTGAAGGTGGTTTCCTCAGGGATGCATCTCTTTAATCTGGATAGATCTGTAATGTAATTTGTAATTTGTGAACGTGTAATTTGTAACAGTAAATATGAATTATCAATTGATTAAAGCATTACTTAGAAAGGAAAATGAGTAAGAAAAATCTTTTAAAACAATGTTTTAAATCTAAGGACTTATTATAAGTATTTACTTACTAAAATAAAACTAGAAATTAATTTTTAGTTACCTAAAAAGTCTCCCAAGTCTAGATGTGAACATTTTGCCACTCACATATTTTGTGGTCTTTTTTTTTTTTAAACTTTTCATTTAAAAAAATATCACTGTTCAACAGATAATCCATCTCTATCCATGAGCATTCCATTAAAACAGTTCAAAGTCAAAATCCATCAAAACATGAGTCAAAATGACCTCTTTAAGTGGCTTCATGAAAATTCTGTGCTTTTTTCTGAGTAGTACAGGTATTTCTGTGTGGTAAGTCCTTCCTGCCATTTCTCAGGCAATTTATATTTTTCCAAGTCCTGAGGAGAATTGTTTGAAAAATTGGGAACATGGGAAGAAGTATTATAATTCTCTGAGAATTAAAACTTAACAATCACTACAAATGTTACTGGTTCAAAAGAATCTACTGCCAGTTGAAAGCAGGAGCAAAAAACTGCTGACATGCTTGCTGCTAAGTCGCTTCAGTTGTGTCTGACTCTGCGTGACCCCTTAGACGGCAGCCCACCAGGCTCTGCCGTCCCTGGGATTCTCCAGGCAAGAATACTGGAGTGGGCTGCCATTTCCTTCTCTAATGCATGAAAGTGAAAAGTGAAAGTGAAGTCGCTCAGTTGTGTCCGACTCTTTGCGACCCCATGGACTGCAGCCTACCAGGCTCCTCCGTCCATGGGATTTTCCAGGCAAGAGTAGCTGTAGGTTAATGTGGACATTTCAGGTAACAGGACAGAAGCACACAGAAGAGAAGTGGCACAATCTACTTAGTCTTGCTTTTGTGGCCGTGTTCGAAGTATGTTTTGGGCCTTGTCTCTTATTATAGTGAGTTATTCTTGCAAATAAATGTTAGTAAGTTTATTTATTATTTATTATTTTTTAAGGACTTCTTTTGCTTCCACAGTTTATTCCATGGAATGTCACTCACAGTATGTTGTAGTATACTCTGTACAGAATCCTGTACAAAGTGACATTCCATAAAATAAATTGTGGAAGCAAAAGAAGTCCTTAAATTGACAATTTTAGCATATGATTCTGTGTGGGCTATTAACCACACTAGAAGTTTCAACTGTTACATTTTTATATTACCCAGTAATATTTTCTGGCATTTTCCAGTGTTTGAATATTCACTATAGGCTACAGATCTTTGTAAATACTTTAACAGAAGAAATGCAGAGAGAGAAGTTAGTGTTATTGTGGACTATGCCTATGTGAAATAAAAAAATAATTTAAAATCTGAATGTTAAAAAAAAATATTGATTTCAACAGCAAAACTAAAATCAGGGTAAGCAGACAATATTTTCTGGTTCAAAATTGGGAAAGAAGTATGTCAAGGCTGTATATTGTCAC